GGAGAAGTGGTGTGGAGGGCTAATTTGCCGTTAATAGGATTCATTTTACTACCACCTCCTCCACAACCACCACCGCCATCAACATCCAAGGATCCACTGCCTTTCGGCTCTTCGTGGCGTAGCATTGGTTGGGGCAGGGCAAGCAGCTCCTGCATTGAAGGCATTGAGTAGGAGCGTCAAAAAAGGCAATTTATTATTGGCGAAAACGAATAAACAATCAATCACGATGCAAAGCACGAACAACCTTTCCAAGAGGTAGAAAACATTAGGTTTGCCAGAAAAAAATGCATTTGGGCTTGATTAACAGGCCATCTCACCAGAACAAGGGTAAGGCAAACAGGGAGGAAAATCATCACACATCACATAGTCATCCCTTAAGCAACATCCTCGACAATCTCAGCACACATGCCCGCCACAACCATCAAATCACACTCGGTGCGGCGAGAATGCACCCATCACTCATCACTCTCCATGAGACTGAGAAACTGCACTTGGTCTCCTCACCACCTTCAACCATTTCTGCTGTTGTGCTCAATCCCACAGTCCGAATGAGGACCGCATACATCGCTCCACCAGTAACTACCTGCAACACTAAACTCTACCTCACTCCCATACAACAAACCTCCAACAGGTAATGCTGTTTCAAACACAGTCTCGCACATCGCAGCACTCGATGTGATGTCATTCTCGACATCATCACTACGAAATCGTAAACAGAACTTGTCTAGATGGTTCACGATGGTGATGTGGCTGGAGTTGTCAGTATCTTATCAGTGGTTGCATAGCGGTAAGGTGGAGCCGAAGGCAAACATCGTTCTCGACCCTCCTGTTGTGAAGACTACAGAGAATGACTCTCCCTGCCCCTCCCACCGTGGACATGCGTCACAGTTGGTGGACACTGAGGTGGAAGTCGTTATCCAAAGGGTTGGAATCACTTTCCTCTGTCACCGATGTGGAGTCCCGAGACTTCGAAGTAGGTTGAAGAATGCATCACGTTCGACCAAATACGTGTTTCCCAGGAGGCGAAGTATGTATTGCAACTTGGCTTGGTCCAAAGGCCAACCAAAATCCACTGCCAGTCATCAGATGGTCACATAAACTACATGCCAGAATTAAGGTTTATTAGCATGTCTTTATTATTAAAAATTAAGATTTAAACAGCCTAATGGTGGTATATTCAGAGGCAACTTTCCTCATAAAATACTTAATTTCCTCTCCTGTATAATAAATGCAAAACAGCCTTAACAACTTTCCTACTCTTTCACATAGGCGCATGACAGCAGAAACATTCATGGAGAATTGCCGAGACAACAGAACTCCCGCTCCCTGTCTCCACGCCTCCCTTACACTTCAACTGTGGCACGTAATAACACCCAACCTGATTCAACCCCAGAAAAGCTTTCCCTACCGATCACTGGCTTTGCAATGAACTCATTAACGCAAGTTCGAGTCCCACTCTAAGGCAAAGGCGCAATGCACCCCCAAAAGTCCCGTAAAACTAAAAAGGCGGTCGCGTATGTAATACTTCTTTCTACTAAAGGTGAATAGTTTGGCAGGGTGACTGCTCATATTATAGGTAAGGTAAATAGATAGTTTAATGTGTATGCATCTGCTATCCCCTCATAAGTGGGGGTGAGGGGGCATAAATAGAATTAAAAATGGAGCGCGGGATCATGGCAACGGGAGACAAAGTGTAAGAATAATATTGGGAAAAAGGAGAAGAAGAAGAGGAGGAGGAGGAGTAGGAGTAGGAGAGCAGATAGGCCAATTGGTGAAAGTGCAATGGAATGGAAGCGAAGGTGGACAGCGTGAACACACACTCACGCACGCAAACAAACACACACACACGCACGGTAACTACTACTAGACTGGTGTGCTCCATCTAAGTGGTGAAGGGACGATCTACGAAAGAATGAGCGTACACAGAGGAATGGAGGCAGTTTCCGACAGCCAACAATCGATTGGGCAAAGGGACAAGCACACACCCACACTACCCCCTACAGATCGAGGGAACAATCGATTGAGCACAGAAATGAGAAGATTGGTTTGATGGCTAGTTGGTAAGTTGGATGGCGGTGGTGGTTTGCTGACAGAGCAGATATGCGTCTAGTATGCACCCGAATTTCGTCGCGAAGCCGATGGCGACGTTTGGTGAGACGGTGGATTAATCTTTATCTCCGGAGTGGGCAGATGAGCAGTAGTCGTGAGAGGTGTAGCTGTTGGTGGATTCGTCCCACCACCCGCCGAATCGGTCTCGTTGGCATGGAAGAGTACAGCAATGTCACGACCAATAGCGCCATCGAAGTCGCTGCTAAAGAGACGCAGAGAACGGAACCGACCTCCACCGCTACCTCGGTGTGAATCGCTCGTCTCATTACCACTGCTGTAGCCACCACCGCCACTGCGATGATGTCTCCGCTTCTCCTTTTTCTTACGATCGCGTCGACTACTGAAATGATAAGAGCGAAGACTTGATGATAGCTAAACAAGGCGGTGCAACGTTAACAACAATCCACATTCCTTTACTGATTACAAAATCGCACACATAGAGGCTCACGCCAAACAATTCAAAGTGGACGGCGTAACTATGATGGTGGGGTCTCAACACATGAGGAAGGCAAAACAAATAAGCAAACAAACAAACACAAGTCTCACGTCTTCCTGTCTCCATCGTCACCGCCTTGATTGACCAATCCGATGCCAGAGAGTTGTCGCCAAATCAATGTCTTGGAGACCTCCTCACTGACACTGAAAGGCTACAAGGGAGCAAGAAGAATAGTCATTTTGTCGAAATTTAGGGGCCATACACACACAGAGTGAAACGCGACACAAACACGCCAACTACCTGTTCGCTCTGAAAAAAAAGGATTGCAGCAAAGTTTACTCGTCTCCATATAAATGATAAAAGAATTATGAAAAAAAGTTAATAGTCACCGTGTCGGGAGAGAAAAAAACCAACCTTTTCCTCTGTGTTAAGTAGCATAGGTTGTGAGAGCGGTAGAGAATCCTACAAAGTAGAAAAATGTTCAACTCATTCTACCCGCCTCTGTTTGAAAGGAGGGTGGGCGCAAAACGTCACGCCAACCTTGCTACTGAAATCATTGGCAGAGGGATATCGACGACCGGGACCAGTGGAGGTGGATTTGCGCTTGCGAGAACACGAACTGTCGGGAAGGATGTCATCAAGCCAATACAATTCCTCTTGAGTGAAGACAAAGTCTAGCGCACGACGTACGAAGCACATCGCGAGCACCTACAAATGCACGGTTTGCTAGCATAACCACGGCCAAGAAAGATGTGAATGGATTAAATGAAGGAGGATCAAGGACAAGGCACGCACCATGAGAGGAAAGAGGATGGAGATTTGCGGGACAGATTTGATGACATAGAGGAGGATAAGGCACAACACCTGGATGACCGTGAATAAGTGAACCCGACCCAAACGCACATGACTGTATGAAGAAAGCGAGAGAGAAGAGGTTAAAAATGTTGATGGTCAAGAGAAGGCGCAATGGAGTAGGCAAACTTACCGCAGATAGGTATAGTCGGGTTGGTATTTGGCTGGTGTGAAGAAGAGTCCAACGCGTTCCATCAGTTGAAGACCATTTAGTGAGGTGATACCCATCAGGAGGAAGACACCGTACAGCACCGCCATGGGGATGCGCTGTTAATGCACAAGGGAGGTGAAGGTGAAAGGGAAGGAGGATTGGATGGAGTGCAGGGAGCCTTGTAGATGAAACGGTTTGAGCACAATGAGGGAGGGGGAGGAGAAGCAGGGGAGAGAAGGTGAGACGGTACTTACGCGAAGGATGGAGGACATGAAGACAGAGAGACCAATGAAGAGGAAGATGAAAAAGCCCGTAACACGTTGCTCTCGACAACCCAAAAAAATGGGTCGCTCGCCTGGTGCTGCCGATTCAGACTCTTTTTTCAAAGAAATTACGTGATTAATTGACAGCACCGTGGCTGCCACAAACCAAGGTATGCCCAGTACCGAGTTGACAGCAATGGTGATTGTCACTATCAACAAGTCGAGGTGGTACCCGGCTCCTTTCTACAGGAAAAATGACGTGAAAGGATTAAAAAGGCAGCATTACGCATGCTGCCTCTTGACTTTTCTCACCTTCAGCTTATTCTCGCGCCGATTGACAATGACAGCAGTGATCTGTTGGTCCATAAAGATCAAAATCACCGCCAGAAGAGCAGGACCAGCAGCAATCAGCGAGGACCACCAGGGATTTCCGTTGAAGGGTGGAATTATCCAACCACGTTTCTACAGTTCAAGACTCTTGATAAGCATGCATTCTCTTGCAAATTATTCCAGAGTAGATTTTGTTGGGGCAAGTCGATCACAAGAGGGAGAGGATATGGACCTCTAGAAACCCTACAATCCCTTCAAATATGACAATAGACCAGCTAAAGGCGCCTAGCAAGGTTGAGGGACTGACACCAGACACCTATGCCATTGGCGAGGAGACAGCGCTTACGGGCAGTCCGACAAGAGGAGGTGTATAGAAGAAACGATGGTCCCTCCTGAAAGTTAGCGCCAAGGGACGGAGGACATCCTCCTGGGAAAGCATTTTGTGAGCCAAATACTGCATTCCAGCATTAACCTTAAGTAATTTTGCAGTGTGTGACATTGTGTAAGGCCTTTGCAGTCTCCAAGTCCTCATTTATTTTAGGCATTTTACTTAATCTGGAGAGCGATTAGTCGTCGAAAGATATCGCAGGTTCATCAGCTCCCCGCAGTAGAAGCTACTTTTTCATCAATCGTTATGTTGAAACGAAAATAAACCTGTATTTATCCAGATAGGTAGCATGAGAGAGATAGAGAGAGAAGACCCACGGAGTCAAATAATCACACGAAAGGAGAGAGGAATCAGTTGTGTCTGTGCAAGCCGTGTTGAAGTGCTTACGTTGTAACCGAGTGTGGGTTCAAAGGAGATGGGTACGAGCAGTTTCGGCGTGTGAAGACCACTGAAGTAGTCGATGAGGCTGCAAATGACGATGGCAATGAGCACCGCAAAGTCCGCAATCAACGAACGGATCTGAAAATAAGGTTCAAATTCTTTGGTTTAATTCTATCAAATAACAAAACACAAGCCCCGTGGATGGGTGGAGCTGAAGATGGTCTTCCAAGTCCCCACCCTAACAATTTCACGGATTAGAGGAGGTTGTTACAGAGGTTTCATTGCAAAGCATAACTTATGTGGCGAGAATTATGCGTAAACTCACACGAGACGGGAAAAAACGCGAATTGCGCAGACTTCGCAAACCGTAGGAAAGGAAGAAGCAGAAGGCAGTCAGGAGGATACAGAAGAAGAATATGTCAGGAGCGTAGAATCCTTTGCACTCATCGTAATTCCACTTTCCACGAAGAATCTCGCATTGTTTTTGTGCTTCCATTGACTCCCAACTGTAGTAGTTTTCATCCAGTTTTTTCCAGTCAATTGTCTAGGCAGCAAATGCAGAGGTTTCCTGACAGCTAGTGACACAGGATTGAGAAAAGTGTTTGCATTTCTACTCACCCCATTCTCATTGAGATGATGATGGGCATCTGTGTCATTGGTCCCGACAAAGGGCAAGTCAAGGATGGGATACTCGTCACGTGCGTACTCCAGCAGTTCTGCATCCGTGTAGTTTCCCGTCTTCATGCAAGTACAATTGCTCGGAGGCGAGAAGAAAGGCTTCCATTCACTTGACAAACAGATTAACACTCACTACTCGAGGCGATTTGACTAAGGACCAGTTTTCAGACTCTTCAACTCACAGATTGACGGGATACTTGTAGGCAATCGAGTAGGACTTCTTGATGGCCTCAAAGATAAAGATCAACGCAATGAGGAGAGCGAAGGACTCCTCTGTGAAGCGGGTGATAAATCGAACCAGAGCGGAGAGATCAAAAGCCACCATGATAAAGAGGATTAATGCAACCCACATGCCAATCCAAAAACGGAAGGAGAGGTAGGACCAACGATTTGATCTGCGAAAAAGATATAAAGTACGTAGAGCACCTCAGCGAAGTGCATAAATGTATGGACAGGTTTTGAATCCCCTTAGGTCAAAAAAACTCGAAGGTCGCGAATTAAGCTATGAGAGGCCCTAGGGACAACACTGATTTGGATTCAACAGCAGTGGGACGAAGCCTTCCGGAATGCTGGACTGATCTGCGCCATGATGAATGAGTTGTGTCGAGTGAGCGTGTCAGTGAGAACGGAAAGCAACTCCCATGCCACCGTTTAGACACTCGGGATGCTTGCAAGCCCTTACTGACGCTCTCGCGCATATCTAAGCACTTTGGTACGCCACTTAAATTATTTAATGAAGTAAGCGGAAGCTTAGATTTGAAATGGAGAACCAAAACATGAGGACATGCCGAGCCGAAACGATGTTGGGTAAATGCACCCAAAACACGCATTGTAAAACATAGAGCAGTCAAAACGTAAATTAATCGTGGCAGAAAGTCAATGTAAAAACTCACTCGCATAGACGATATATGATGCTTTCAAAGATGAGGACGGGTCCAGTGCTGCCCATGATTGTTAGCGGTTGGCCGGCAAAGAGGGCGTAGAGGATCCCCACAACAGCACCCGAAACAATCGACTCCATTGTGCCCTGCAAGATGGTCAGAAAGGAACCTCAAAATTCGTGATGGATGAGGAGTGGGTACAAAAAGGGGGCACAAAAGATAAGCAACTTGTTAATTAGGTGGAAGACTTATTCAGGCTTGTATGTAATACAAAAGTTAGCTATAAAGTTGCTCTTGGTGGCGAAGACTCTGTCTTTGTGTGAAGAGAGTAAGCAACTACTTTCGCTTTTGTTGTTAGGTTACGAAAGGTTAGGGGGAGGGCTATTTAAATCTATGTAAAAAACAAACAAACGAGTTTTACCAATGCATTCAAATGGACAAAATAGCAGAGCAGAAGTAAGCCTTTACAAGCGAGAGTTAGCTAAAGGATCTTACCTTCGACTTCTACCAGAACAACAGCAATAAATGGGTCCTAGGTGAAACGTTATGCAAGCTCCTTACTGAAACCGCAAATAAGTAGCAGTGTAAAAGGTTTTTGCTTACTCAAAAGTTGGGAACTTACTGATTGTCATTACCAGACAGCATTCAGATTATCATGAGGGAGTACCAAGTAATGTAAGCAACCGTGCTCCGGTTTATGCGATTATCTCCAAGGTTTGAGTCGAAAATTCGGAACTTCTTAACCAAACAATCAAGGACCAAAACGCGCCCCGAGCAGCGTTGGGGATGGAATTACAGATGAGGCTACAAATACTGAAACATATCTGCTCCAACTCTCCAAGCTCTTTAACAAAAAGGCTAAGGTGAAAGCTACAAGTGACCTCCAAATGAGCCCACGTTCTAGAGAATTTGAAGGTGAAATCCCAGTGGGGACTGAATGAAAAAAGAAAACATGAAAGTGAGAACTTTTGCACCCACGCATTGCAAAACACCACCAATTTGTTTGAAGTGGAAATAGGAGGACGCGAGTTAAAAAAGACCCCTTTGCTCCGGCTTTTGCGTGCGCTGTCGCACCAGAATGCGAAGGAAGGCGGCAAGAGCGTGAAAAGGGAAGGAGGGGAGAAGGCGGACTGCATGGGTTCGGTGAGAGAGCGGAAGGCGGGAGGGGGATGTTAAAAATATATCCACCAGTGTCACTACCGCCTCTGCTGTCGTTGTCTCTTTTATGACCACTTGTCTTGCTGGAGTATGGCATACCGTGCCGCTCCACTCCCACCTCAGTTACGGGTAGTAGAAGGAGGAAAAGATTCACATGCTTATTGATTTTGCTTTGCAGCTATCGCCTTCTTCATTTTTGCTACCATCGATGCCACTGTTGGTCCCACTTCTCCAACTCTGTTCTTAATCGAAATGTCCAACCCAGGAACGGCGGATATGGCAAATAGGGGGAGGGAGGATGAGGGAGGAAAGAGGATTGACCGCCTCTGATTCTCCTCTCTACTTCTTGCCAAAACGCTTATGATCAGATTCTACAACGTCCGCCTTTCGAAATACTCTCAGGTTGAAGATGTTTGACCGGTTATAGTGAATGTAAAAGATACCAACCCCTTCCGCTGCCCCTCCAATATCACCTTTGCCATTACTTCACCCGCTCTACATTTTTGATATAGTAGAAAGGTCTCCCTTTTGAGATGCCAGAATGTTGACTTAGTGCTCTCCAGATTTGATCGGCATGACGGGAGGACGATTTGCCTTGCCCTCCCAGCTTCTTCGGCTACTTGAAGGCATCCAAACATCGGCTGTGGGAGGCTCCAACATAACAAGTGGCATGGAGAATGTAATAATCCGCTGGACATTGTTGGTGACACCGCATAACGCCACCTAGTGAATGTGGTGACAAGAAGTATTGATAAAATAAGCCACTTCCTGTTGTTACCTCATTAAGGAGTGGGCCAAAAGCCAAAAAGCCCTCATTCGTGGAGGATGGTATAGAATTGTGTTTGGAGGAATGTCACGATCAACAGAGAAGTGAGTAGCTGATTGAACAACTTAAGGTTCAATTGAAGTCACCTCCCTGGTAGGCACGGGTGTGGAGAGAAAAATGGTCAATAGATAGCGGACAACAAGAGATAAGGGGTTTAATGAGATGTCGTTGGATTTTGTGGATGGAAAAGTAGATTAAAAGTATGCGAGTGGAAAGTATACAGAAGGGCAGAGAGGACCGATGACGAATTCGATCTATCAAAACTTGTCAAAATTAGGGGTCGTTGTTGGACTTTAAGAGGAAAACTTCAGGTTATTTATCAGTCAGATGGAATAAGGTGGGTGGATGGATGAAATTGAACATTGACAATGTAATTAGGATCCACAGCCAGTTTGGTCATGAAGAGGTGAGTAAATGAGGGAGTTCGTCAGGTTTCGGTAGTAAATAGAGATGCGAATCAAAACCTAAAAAGAAGGAAACTTACCAGATACCCACCAGTGACGTTAGAGAGTAGACCCCCAAAAGTGATAATGGGAGTGAGGCAAGCGAAGTAGAGGAAGAAGAAACTGGCGAAGCACTGAATGTGTAATGCGTCTGTGTAGTCGGACAGATATGAGGGGGCCCGGCGCTTGATGTCGCGAATTAGACCACCGAAGAGGCTGCGAAAAAAGGTGACAAAGCAGTTTAATCGTAACTGAAATGAAGGACGAAAAACTACAAACCTTCAAAGTTAAGGAGATAATGGAAGGATACTTTAACACAGAGATCAAAGAGTGAATGAAGTAATAAAATGGGAAACCAGATAGATGTCAAGGAAATGAAATAGTAAACACGCAGATGGATAGACAGTTGGGTTCTGGTAAGAAGTAAGGTGGCTTAATAGATAAATTCATAAAAGGCATAAATGGAGGGCAATGCAGAGGAGTGTCTAAATGAATTAGTCAATCGTAAACAGGCATATTGACCGAAGATGTATCCAAAATAGGTGATTTGATTAAACGGTTGCGATAATGGACGACAGAATATGGTTCCATCAAACCTCACCATCCACTCCAAACCCAACTCACCGTCCCGTCCTCATTAACGCAGGATCGTTGTTTCGATCAAATACCTCCACTCCTCCTGCTCCGCCAGCCTCCCCACTCTCCATCGAGACAGCATCTTTCGATGGTGAGGTAGAAGAGGATGAGTCTCTTCCACCCCCTCCATCACCACCGTCCGCTCCAGATGCCATAGTGCTCGTCACCTTGGCTGCTGCCGCCTCTGCCGTGACAGTCGGTGAATCCGAACGAACATTTTTGTGGTGACGGTGGTGGTGGTGAATCTTAGGCAAGATAGAATGGCGTGACGTCTCTGGTTGTTGTTGGACCGGTGTTGATGGAGTGGCATTTGCGGCAGCTGCGGCTGCAGCTGCTTTGCGATTCTCCTGCAAAAAAGATAATGAAGTCACTTTCAGCTACTTATACCATCAATCAGTAGCGAGGCGGGCCTATGCAGTGAACCGCCAAAGTCCCGACGCTTTGTTAGCAATCCCAAGCTAGGAAAGAAATTCGGTAATTCAGCAATTGAATGCATTGTGAAAAGATGTATAAAATGGATTGAAAGGTGGATGCGTGAATCAGCCGACGAGATCGATTTAAATGAATGAAATGTCAATTGGATGAAAAGACGCGTAATGGATGCGTGGGTGAGTCTGCAATCCCAATTCAACCTCATCCACCCCTCACGTTCATAACAAAGGTGACTTTTGAGAAGAAACATTCCAATACACGCTACTTTTTTGTATAACAGTAAACCATAGGTCCATGAAGGAGCACTGATCTTTCCGGATCCTTAAACGCAACTAAAACTCTAGCTTTGAGTCCACTTTCTTATTTTTCCAGCGGTCGCCACTTTAAGTCGGTTTCATTTAAAAATAACAATACGTCTGAGAGGGGCGTAACATCAATAACTGTTATGTACCTGGGGCTCTAAGTGGTTGCTAATGCCAACAATCCCATAGCACTGCATCAAATCATGGCCATCTGTTAACTCCTTTGGTCGACATGGGAAAGCTCATGCAAGGAGGAGGAGAGCTAGCTTCAAATGCTCAAATGAAGCGGAAACAAATAAAACGAGCCTACTTAAAACGATTTGCAAGTAGGCTTTATCTCTGTTACTCATACAGTAAACCAAGCTCTCCTTCCAATGTATTTCTAATGTCGCATAAATTTGCATTCAAAAATGAAATTCACCGCGACGGTTAACAGGTGAATAAACATGCATAATCAGGGTATGCAAACGACACTTAATTAGCTATACAAACTAATTAGGATTGAGGTGGTTTGGCGTTAGCAACCGGATGACGACAAGGTGCCAACTTTTTTAGTAAAGATTACAAGTATTGGATTACGCTGCCTCTTGAGTTTGGTGCCTCCGAGTCACTTGGACGTCCCAAGTTCCAAGAATGAATGCAGGAAAACGGCAAGAGAACTTTCAAAATTGCCATTGGTAGTGCACAAACACACAGCGGTGTGTGCGACCGAAGTTCACTGCTATTTCGCGAGCACTAGCGTTCTTTTAACCTCACTAGCACAAAATGCTATTTCAAACTGCCGACTCTCAAGCGTTGGCACTCCTAGCCAAACTGTAGACTTAATAGGACACCTCTTCAGAAATGGATCGCATTCCTACTCTGACAAAGGTCGGAGAATGTTTGCCGTGTCCTTTTTAAACGCCCAAGCATACGTAAATTTGGATGCTAAAATTTAGGTGAAATGGCTTTTCAAGGAGCCAGGGGGACCAACAGCTGACGTTTCTCGTAATGTAGGAAGAAAAGTCAAGTTTAGGTGAAGGAATTGACATCTAGTTGACTGAAATGCCAGGATCAGATGTGGCAAGCTGTGGTGCTTAAACTAACAATTCAGAAATGGCTTCAATCGGGTGGCATAAAATACTAAATGGGATCACCGATGATTTTGTCAATGCACTAGTCATAGAGCTACATGAATGAAGCAAAGACGACACAAGGATACAAATTATTCTATTATGTCATATACTACTAGTGGCTTCGTACCAGTGAATAGTAGCATGAAGGTCTTATCAACAAGTAGAATGGGTTAAGGAGAAATTGAACTGACATGGCATTTTTAACTTTCTGAAAGAATAAGCACTCGATGACGACACACCACTCCCTCCAATCGGGTTTTGCATATACTACTTTCAGAACCAGGGCATAAGGTCACAATGTGGTTGCCCAATGCAACAAGCGAGAACGAAACTGAGACAAAACGACGACGCGTTTCCGGCGACAAACAGTTAAAATTCTAAAGCATGCAAGCATGCTAGAAGTTTGTGCATACTACTTATAACTTTGAAGAGTTGGGTGCCACTTATTCTCTCCTCATAAACAATGATCATTGTAACTTCTGAGATTAACTCTGAGTAGATATGACAATTAGTATTTATTCATTACTGAACTGAATTGTTAAATAGCAGTACATGTGATTCTCACTGGTTTCAACTACTTAAAACGGACCTGAGAGGGTGGTTCTGGTGGCGGTTCAATACGTGAGGTGTGCTCCCATTGGGCCGGCGGTAAGAGGGAGGAGGCGCTTAGAAACTCGTCAATTCCCGCCAACAGGTCGTTGCGAGATGTGCTGCGAGTTGCAAAATCGAGGAAAATCTTAAAAAAGGAGAAAATTCAATGGACATTTTGGAGTCAATAATTTTTTTCACCCTTAACTCTCGAGTGCATTCCTCCTAACGAAAATATTTAAACAAAGAGTTCACATGTACTTTGATGCTAACGACCTTTTCAAGGGTTGACTTTTGGTATTCGGG